GATTACGGGTTGCTGCAATCTTATCTTGGGCGTGATGGGCGTGATGCACAAGCTTTCCTTTGTCATTTACCCTCATGCCCGCCAGAGTCTGAGGACAACTCTCGTCGCTTGCAGCAGCGACAGGTTTCAAAGCTCGTTTGGTGGTGAATTTTCGTACAGTAGAAATTGCGGTCTGTGTCCGTCAGCTGCGCAATTGTGCATTCTTCCCGCCTCCAGCAGGTCTGACGGATGACGAACCGGCTGTCGCAGCTTGATCCAGTCCAGAAGAAGTGGCCTGGCATGCCCCAAGCGACACCCGAGCAGCCTTCTTCTGCCAGTGCCGTGGCGGTGCACCTCTCGATATTCACCGAGTCCTCTGCCCGGCTTATTCTGTATCGGAGGCTCCATCCATAATCCTGACACCCAGTCTCTTGCTTTGGAGGGAACCCTGCAGTAAGAGCTTACGGCGTTCGCACCAAGTTCGCACATTGGCAATCATCAACCATAATTTTGGTGTAAGGACATAATGACAAGGCAGCAAACCGGCAAGGCGTGTCCTTGATAAAAAGGAAGAAGTCTCCCGGCTCAGCCTGGGACCGCTCTGGCACAGATGATCTCAAACATGTCTGAACCGGAGAAATTGATATCCGAACAGTCTAACTTTATCTGAGGAACCCCGGAGCCATCCAAGTCCGTGAAAAGCGGCTGCGGCATGGCTGCTACCTTCGGCGGGCAGTGCTCCATGCCTATGCACACAGCAAACCTGAATCACAGACTGCTCACCTTACTGGTGGCTTCTGACACATGATACTGCACATCGCTTAACCCTAGACAGCGAATGGAAGGTCACCTCGTCGGTCTTGACACCGTTCACGATTGCCTGTTCTACCTGACTGCGGAAACCCGATGAAATTTGGCAATGCACACCATGCCGTCGCACACAGCGACACATCAGTTAATGTCAGCTCTCGATCGTATACATCTCGCCTCGACTGTGGCAAGCGCCGGCGGAAGCAACGGAGGATGCCATGGGCGTTGGTCCATCGTCGGAGTCTCCTCAACACGGCATGACAGAGAGACATCTAAGGCTGTGAGCCGGAACTCCTGTATCTCCGGCTCATCCAGCTCATCAGACTCATCCTTCATCTCGCCACTTGGAGAGCTTCCGGTGAAAAAGGCAGCAAGCTCCTGCTCAGGGGTCCAGAGTCCAGAGCAATTCCTTTGCTTGAAGCGGAGTAGATGTTCGATGTGCTTGCGGCTCTATGCTGGCGAGGTCGGTTGCTTTTCCTCCGCCCCGCAGGCAGTCTGACGGCCCTCGGCTCGGATGCCAGTCAGGTGGAGGCACAACAGGCGCTTGTGGGCGCAGGCATGCACAGGTTTATTATGTCCCTTCCACGGCGCAGCCGGTGAGGAAGTTCACCACTTCCGTGTGCCCACGCTCCCCGGCCACGGCCAAAGCCCCCTGGAAGCCAGCAAAGCCATGCCTTAAATCTACGTCGTCTGCCCGAGCTGCCTCTAAAGAAGCCCTTGTAGGCAAGGCTTCCTGCAGACCGACCAAGTACCTCACCACCCTGATATGCCCCTGAGCCGCAGCCAAGGACAAGGGGCACCAGCCCTCCACAGTGACAGCATGAGGATTTGCACCGCTCCGAACCAGGATCTCCAGCACATCCATGTGACCAGCCTCTGCTGCCAGATGAACCGCTCTAAAACCAAGAGCTGCATCGGCAGCATCTGCATCTGCGCCGCTTCCCAGCAGCCGCTGTACTTCTTTGGCATTTCCAGCCCAGGATGCACTCAGTATTGGCTTGTCAAGCCATCGAACAAACAGGTTGAATGCCACTGACAGGCGGGGAGGGCTCCCTGGCCAAACAGGGTCCACCTCATGCAGCAAGCTCGTGGGGAAGAGCAGCAGCAAGCCAGGGCGAGGAACAGCTTCTACACAGCGGCCCCCATCATAAAAACGAACCTTTGCTGCCGGTGCTGCAGTTGTTTCTTGATGCGGGTAGTAGATACCTGATGCAGCACGTGACAAGAGCGGTGGGCCATGCTCGTGCATCAGATTGTGGTTGTCGGGTCTGTTGACGTTTACCCAGAGATGCTCAGGTTGGCAGCTCACGCACAGCTCAGAGGAAAGCCCCGGCGGTGGCTGGGATCGCCGGATCTTATGCAGATATCCTACAAAGGGAGCCTGTACCAGCGAGAGGAGCTCGGCCAGTACGGGATGCTCTCCAAAAGGCACGTTGCAGCTTTGGAAGCCACCCACATTGCTGACAGCCCGGCCCAGGCCTTTCGCCTCCAAAGCATAACAGAGTGTCGCCAACTCGTCCGCAAGCCCATCGTTCTGAATCTCCTTCTCCACGTCTCTTGAACAGTCTTGAACAAGACCCCTATTTCCTAGCCGGCCCGTGGCCCTAGCTTCGATTTGGGGCGTTTCAAAGTAATGAACCGTGTGAACGAGACAAGCACCGAGATTCTGCTTCCAGAATTGAGGTGCTCAGCCAGCGAGACGGCAGTGCAAGCGGCTGCGACCATCTGATTGGAGGTTGTAAAGATCCGTGGGGGAGGCGGGCGAAGTTATTTCGCAGCTGCAGCATGTTGATCCACCAAGTGGTGAGAGCGCAAAATGCCAGTCCAGCTCTGGCTCTCATGACGTCTCAGTTGCCCCTGTCGTGGCACATCGCTTCACAAACGGTCTCAGAGAGCCAAAGGGTAACTTCAGGAACGCACGAATCGCATTCAGAGAAGCACCAAAGTCGGAAAAAGAAGATGTCGCGCAGTCATAGAGTCATTTACCTGGCTTGGAGACCCTCAGCTCCTGGGCCTTGGAAGATGTCCAATTGGCTATGGAGCCAGCCGTGCTTTCAACGACCTGGCAGCTCAGGCTCACGGCATGTCGCAAGAGGCCAAGCCACGCGGGGAGTCTGCTGCGGGCGATGTAGAACTTGGAAAAGTGACCGGTATCGCAGCTGTCTACCAACAACGCATCCAGCGGTTACGAACTACCTATGCTCATGCGACAGCTTCGGGCGTGTTGGGCTTTGGAATGCTGTGGAGGGGAATCTTTGCGCTCAGCTGTTGCTTTGCAAGTGCTGCCCTCCGCTGACCCCTTGCGGCTCAGTGCAACTAAAGCCGGCGCGCTGGCCACCACCCGCGCGCTGCTGTGAATCGAAGGAGCTGTCGATTCCCCCGAACACACTTGAGACGAGCAAGCCCTAGACAACTGAATGGCAAGTGCAGCAGCACCTTCAGCCCGGAAGCAGCGCCGCCCAACAGCGAGGAGCTGGCGGAATGCAGGGCACCCTGGCAGAGCCGGACGAATCACCGACAGGCTTCGCCAGTCCGGCTGATGGAGCAGTAATCCAAGATATGCCCGAAAGAGGCAAGAAACAGCCTGCCCGATCTGCCTTGGCACCTGACGCTGCCCCATGCATCGCCGATGCAGTAACATTGGCAAGCGTACCCTTGGGGTAAAGAGCAAGCCGGGACGCAAGCGGGGAAACCAAGCTCTTCAGATGCAGGCTGGCTTGCGGTTACAACCGGCAGCAGCCTGCTTCAACGAGGAAGATGTGGGATGGTCCCTACTGGTCGTTGCCTGGGTCGCTGCGCACTTTGAAGTCCAAGCCACACCGACACCATCCCAGGATGTTTCAGGATGGATTTCCGGAGCACCAAACAGGGCGGTGTAGATGGCATCCTGCTCGGAACCATCGCGCCGAGTCGAGCCACTCAAAATCCCCTTCGAGCCCTTCGAGCCTTCACAGCGAGGAAGTAAAGTGAGCTCCGAGAAGTTCTCCTTCCCTCCACTTCGTCAGGCTCGGCCTTGCCGCTGCACATGTCACTTAGAAACGATGCAGTGAGCGAGCGAGTAGAGTCAGTGAGCGGGCGAGACACCGGGGTGCCCTCCGGCCTGTCGAAACTGTCCCTGTCGCCTTCTTTCCCCCTCTGCATGCGTTGTCCGGGCCCCAATCCGAGCCTGGCTAGTGCCCTCGACCCGAACCTTAATGGCCCGCTCGAAAGGCAGCCCGCTCTTGTCAACACTGCCAGAACGATTATGCCTGGCTCTAGGCTTTGCAACATGTTTCTAAGTGACAACAAGGCCACTGCCACGCAAATGCCCGGGCGCACCTTGACGACCCTGGCTTCACGAAACCGGCTCGCAGGCGGTGCCGCGAATCCATGACTCCTGACCTTGGCCACTGAGCTTCTTGTTTACTGGGATATTAAGGACACGTCAGAATGCTCTGGCCCTGTGTCGCTAGGCAACAGACTGTGACTTGCCGCAGGAAGCAGAACAACAGCACCACAAGCGCCCACCGGAAAGACGGCCTCTGCAGCCGACGACGACCTGCAGTGTCCGAATGTGCAGGGCGGTGCGAGCACGGGATTCAGTGATCTTACCTCATTGCTTCTTAGCTCAGCTCGAACTCTGGTCTCCGTTGCAGTCACTTACAACACAGCCTTCTACTCTACCTTCTGCACCTAAACACAACTCCCTCCCACACCCCTCGCCCCATGTTTTTGAGCCTGCACCCTCTACTCATATTTCAGTATGAGACGCGTGGTCTAAAGGCTGCAAAGTGAAGGAAACATTCCAATGTGCCTGGCGGCTGAGAATCATACGGGCCATTGGACAAGGAGGTATCGAGATTTGGAAGTTTCTGGCAGCGGCACCGCAACTACCAAGGTCACATGCAGCACTGCCTCGACCAGGCGGCATTTTGAACACCAGGACGCAGCCATCCATGCCACGGAGCACCCGCTGCTTTATGCTGCTATCTGCTGCTGAAGCATGCTGGAGTATCATTCCTTTCGCGTTTCCGGCACTGACCCGAAACTTCGGCTCTCGTGGTTGGCAAACCCGAATGTGGGCTTTCACATAGTTCACTCGAGGAAACTGGCCTTGTGAGCCCAAAGATGGTAAAAAAAAACGTTGCTTTGTGGGGGAGGGTGCATTCGGGTGGGGTCCGAGACTCCCGGCGGATGCCGCGTCGAAAGACGAGTGCTCACCGTTCCCAGACCTCCAGCGCAGACGGCAGGCCCGGCAAGTGGCCACTGAGCCTGCAATGCCAAGGATGCACCTACGGCACGTAGCAAAGCCAAAGGTTCCTTGACACATAGACTAGGTAGCAAAATGTCTCAATCAAACCATGATTGAGAGCAGTCCGGCAAATCAGTTGAACCAGGCAAAACTGACACAACGCAATGTCATGATGTCTAAGTGAAGTTTCGACGGGCGAGAATTCAAGGACTTTTCGAAATTGCCTGTTTGAGAGGTGTGGACGAGAAAACAGAAGCTGTGAGGCCTTTTGTGCTTCTCGATTGGATGTCCACAGTGCCGGTGCTCCGAAGTCATTTCTGCAGAAACGCGTGCCTGGGGAGGTTGATTGGCTAAAGTTTGACCTCGAGCGTCATCTTGCCCCTCCCCGGTCGTGTGTGTGTTGTCACGCTCCACTACGGAGCCGGACGCATGGGTGGGCCCTGGGCCGGGGGGGACGTTGGACGCCTCTTTTGCGCAGGAACAAAAGATAAAGAGAAAGAGCGAGAGAGAGAGAGAGAGAGAGAGAGAGAGAGAGAGAGAGGGAGGGAGGGAGGGAGAGCGAGAGCGAGAGCGAGAGCGAGAGAGAGAGGGAGAGGGAGAGGGAGAGAGAGAGGGAGGGAGAGCGAGCGAGAGAGAGAGGGAGAGCGAGAGAGAGAGAGAGAGAGAAAGAGAAAGAGAAAGAGAGAGAAAGAGAGGGAGAGAGGGAGCGAGAGAGTTAGTTTGTGCGTGGTAGTCGTTGGACAGGGAATGAACCCACGCGACACATGCACCTCTGGCAGCGGATAGTGGGTGTTGGTGCGGTGGGAAGCTGATCAACAGCCAACTGGCGGTCCACCGTCTGTGCGTGCAGGTAGACAGCATTTTGACACGAACCCTTGTGCTGGATGGCAACCAAGCGAAATGACCGGATGACTTCAATGTTGGTTGTCAATGTTGGTTGTAAGTGCTGTTGGTAGGTACATTGTCTCCAACGTGCTGTGCCTTCTGGACTACACTCTTGTCGTGCAAATCCTCCCTGCTGCACGACTCGTGGTCGACCACTGTGACTTGATTGAGTCCGGTGTAATCCGGTGTATCGATGATGGTTGGCGGCTGCCCTACACGGCCCTACGCTGCACTTCCCTCCCCTGCTCTGCCGCTGCGACGCCACCGAAACAGGGAGAGGCCCACAAAAGCACCAAAACATGCTCCTTCGGCGATGTTCATAAGCACGAGTAAGGCAAGAGCCAGCTTCGCCGCACCAATGCGCCTTCCACGCTGCCTGCAGTGTTCATCAACTTCACGACTTCGCACTCTGCATTTGGACAACATGTGTACAGCATGGTCAAGGCCAAGGCCCTGCCTGCGGTGCTTGGCGGCGTGTGAGTCGAGGCTCCGGGCGCGATGTAACCCGCCACACGGACGGCCTCCTTGGTTTCAGAAGGTGACATAAGCAGCCAGCCCAGCTCAAGATCGTCACAGCCCGCTTGGGCGATGTTTAAACACAACCTTGGGCCAAAGAGCAACCTGAGGTTCAGTTATAGCGATGCACACTGAAATGCACACGTTGACATTCTTGGAACCGCGTCCCCTAGCAATTTGCAGGAAAAGACGGCAGAAGCTCACACACTTGCCGTGCTTCGTGAAATAACCTTCGCTGGGTGTTCCCGTGCAAGAAAGTCTGATCCTGTGGCCCTGACCAGGCTTGGAAGCCTGATGTAAAGGTTCTAGGATTCTAGAGCCCTCTATGCTCATACATCCCCAGTCTGCGGGTCCCATTCAGGCGTCATTGAGTAGAAGTAGAACGAAAAGCAGAAGAGAAGGGGCCAAGGAACAGAAGGACCTTCAAGCAGGCGGCAGCCATGGCTCAGCATGCAGACCTCCCAGGAAACACTAAGAAAAGCTGGCTCACAGGTTCATAGAGTCTGGGGGCCTGGCTGGGATCAGACTCGGATCAAGATGGATGAAGTGAATTTAACTGATGCTTGACTGCACCCAGTCACAAGGTGGCAATCCATCCGGGTCCACCGAACAAGAACGGAGCCCCACGAGTTGGGGACAGTATGGGACAGTGCCACTCCATGTCGCATGCTTTGCCTGAAGCAACCAACACTCGGCATCGAAGTCCCGCCTCTGCATAGCTGATGTTGCTGTCCAGCCTCGGAACTCGGAACTCCCCAGCCACCAAACTGGATCACCGATTGAAGGCGGAAGCTCTGACCAGCTATCAAGTGACCATGGAGGGACCGCCCTAGCTGATGTACAGGTCTCTGTTTCGAGGGACAAACAAGTCCTTGTTGATCTGGCGGGACCCGAACACGAAGACAGTGACATCGGGACACCGTATGACCGTGAGACGGAAAACTCTGTCCGGGGTCCGGATTTGGGAGCACACCGGGACTGCGAACCGACACACCAGACTAGTAGACTGGACGCGGTTCTTCTAGCCACTTCTTCCAGCAGTTGGTGCTTTGCAGACACGGCACTCCTGCCCGATGCTTGCTTGGTAGTGCTCCATGAAGCAAGCTTGCATGCTCTGCTCAGAGGTAGCTGAAGCCCCTTGAGTCCCCCGACGTCTGAGATAATGTTCTCAGTCCGGCTGTCGTCTGCGCAGCGTCCTGATATTTCGAACTTCCATGCACCCTGGAAGCCAGTTGAAGCTAGGGTGCAAGGTATGGCAGTACAGAGCTGTGGGTACTCTGGTTCCTGAAGTCTGGCAGCCAGGGACAGCACGGCAAGGGAAGCTGCAAGAGCCTGGCAATTTCAACTTTGTGGAATCTGGATGAGAGAGAAAACATGAGGAGGAGGAGGTGGACAAGTTGGCTTTAGCAAAGTACTCCTGATAAGCTTCGCACATCAGCTGCCGCACAATGTTGTCCAAGCGCGGATACGGTTAACAAGCAGACAGCTGCCTTGCAGCACACGAAGAGTACCGTAGCAAAACTGCTGGTCCCTCAGACGCAGTACTGCAAAAGCTGGCGGAAAACATTGAATTCGAGGGCAAATCGTGCTCTTTGAGCAGACCTTTGGCCCATTGAGGTTGCGTACTGCTTCTCGGCAAGTGGTCAGTTGGACCGTGGCGCCACCGCAGTATTTACCAAACTGGCAGCACTTTGTGCTCGCCTGACCGCGTTCTGCACGCAAGGACCTGGGCGGCGTCTCCGCCGACTGAGCGAGTATTAAACGAAGCACCTACAGGCCAGACATCCCTTCACAGCGATGAGAACACTACCACTTCACTTCAGGGTCGACGCCCAGACACACATTCATTTACTCACGAGCTTCACGGAGCGAACTTGGAAAGCAAGCTTTGTATTGACCATATCTATACTCTCGCACGACGCAACAAGCGTTGTGGTCCATCCAGCTTGCTATGGAAAACACTTCCAGTCAGTGGAGGCGACACATAACTTAAAAGTCGTGTTCCAAATTCCTCCGTGGCGAAAGTTTTGGCTCTCATCAGGATCTAAACTCCGTTGACTTGAGCACCACGAAATCGCTCTAAAGATTTCAACACCTGCGCGCGCACCAGGAGCTGTGGTGCGGAAACATCGCCAGTGCGCTTAATGGCCAGCACTGCTGCATCGTTGCGATGTTCCTCATAGTCACGAGCGGAAAATACTCTCATTAGCTTGTCCTCGTGCATGATTTCGAACCCACGGCCCCGCTCGAGGCACTGATGGCTGCGAACTACCAGGCCAATCCCATTCAAAGCGCAGAATGTCTTGGTAACATTCCAACCAAACTTTACTGCAGATGCATTGCGGGGTGAGCTGTGAACACCAAATACCATGGCAGCCTCATCCATAGCCTCATCCTCTGGTATAGGATCCGACCACAGTATATTATAAAGCCATCTCCGTTCCGGCGTGTGGAAGTCCTCCGAGTTTAGAGGCCGGGGAACGCAAGAAAGCTCAGCGATTGTCCACTTGCCATCTCCCAGTCCACCATGAACAGTCAAGATTTGGTCGTCGATGAGACAAGCCAAAGGCAACCACTCGAAGGCCTCCCACAGCGGCGGCTTACCGCGTGCACAAACATCTAACTTGGCCACACGGCGAGATGGCTTGAATAGATTGCAGACCCAACAACAACCCGTCCTAAGTTTCTGGCCTTTTGAAACAGTTGAAATGTCTTGGGACCGTTCGCAGATCCCAAGCTCTCCAGGCATTCCTCCTCGAAGCCATACTTGCCTGAAGACCCGAAGTGCAACTGCACAGGTTACGGGCGAACATAGAACCATGCATTGCTCATGAAGGCTGCTTCTGGGCAACACCCATGTCACCGAAAGTTCGGCTACATCCCGGATACACTGCCAGACCGCTTCTCCGAAGCCTTTTCTTTTCGCAGGCTAAACCCTGCTCTCCCTTTACCGTTGGCCGGTTATGAAGTTCTACGACTTCAGCTGGGTCTCGATTCATCAGCAAGTCTTCATGGTTTCCTCGCACCAGCCACACGTGCGATGGGAAGGTCAGCTTGAGGGCGAAGAGTACTCCGACAACCTGCACGAAAGCGGGTGCAAGTGCAGAAAGCCAAGAAGAGAGCCTTTGAGTGAACGTTATCAATGCTAGCGCTAGCCTCCAGCTGGTGAGCACCCCGATCAACGAAATCTCCATTGAAAACGAAGTGCAGGTGGTCGGCTCCAGGGCTCCCATAGGCATGAAACAGGAGCAGCATGTCACGAAGCTGACCATGAATGTCGCCTAAAGGAAGCGGACATTTCCGTCTGAAGAAGCTTTTCTCCAGGCTTTGCCTAGTCACCTAGTCACTACACGACTTCTTGTGAAGAAGCCCATGACCATACTCGCCTCTCCTGCTAGGTATCGGCAGGTCTCGTACTCACGGGAGCATAATACGAAGTGAAGAAACTGAGGTCTCTGCGCGAGCCGACCGACATGTGTCAGTGAGACAAGCTGTGAGATCAACTGAGCAGCACGCCAAACACTTTGCAAGGCTGCGGTACTTGCACGACCGTGGGCTCTGTCTGCATCAGCTGCCGAACGCCACTGGCGAGAATCATGAGGGTGTCAGTGTAGTCAGCACCTGATTCAGTGCAAACGTCAGGATAAGTCGACGTTGAAATGGAAGATAATGGAAGACTACGACGTCCGTTTGCGCGGCTCGTTAGACTGGACATCTTACACACGCACACGCCGCGAGGAGTGCAACAAGTCTTCTGCTGAGGGGCTGAACAAGAAGTTCAGTGTGTCTTCCTGCCACGCACCATCATTCATGTCGGTTTCCTCCTTTCCCACCTAAGCTACAATTCACGCGGGTAAGGTCCGCACACCTTTGAGACACAACGTGCTGAATATCTACATGGGTCAGAGTCTGCTTGTATGAAGTGCAATCCAAGAGGCTCGCTTCACCATCTCCTCACAGCGAGAATCCCTATTCTACCCGCAGGCAGACGACAGTTCGCTGATGTTCGGTGTTAGTCTTTCTCGGTGCCCGAAGTCCCTCCGGCTGACACGAGTGCCGCGAAGCGAAAAAACTTGTTGCATGATGTTCCTGAACATTCCTGGACTAGGGCCGTTTGCTGGCCTCACATCGTCTTTGCACCTACCGGTCACAAGCCTTCCCAGCAGTTAGACACCTTACCTCGAGGTGCAACTGGTAAATCGGTATAACACATTCAAGCTGTGATGCCCCGCAAGAACTGACGATCTTCTACGCAAAGTTCCAATGTTCGGTCATCTAGGCTCTGCCAAGGTCAGCTTACCAAAACCATGAACACATGATGCCTTAAGCCGGAACTGGTTTGATTGAGAGTCACATCGACACACTCTGCAAGGCTCTGTGGACTCTAGGACTTCGTAGAGTAGAGCAGTAGGTGGTAAAATCCTCTGGGCCACCCCTCCTGGAGTTGACTCACCACGGTAGCAGCTCGACGCGTCACGCCACGGCCAGGAGCTTTCGAGGGCGGCCTGAAACCGGAGAGCTCACGCAGACTCTGACATGACACCCTGTTCGAATTCGATGAGCTGAGGGCAGAGAGCGAAGGCTTGCTGGTTTCAAAACTCGTTCGCCTTCTAATAGTTGGGGCACAAAAAACACACTGGCACTGCTAAACACTGGCAAAGAATCTTGGCGTCCTTCGAGACAGCCGTGAAGCGGTTAAGATAGGTGCTGCCATGAAAGGCGACCGCCAGGAGGCCCAGTTTGCGACCTCACTTTCGGAATTGCAATTCTCGTACAAGGCAACAACGTAGAACAAGTTTTACGACCAACTCAAGCGTGCCCGCCATGACATGCAAGGCAGCTCTCGCGCGAAAGGAAGAGTGCGCTTGCCGCCGGCCAGCAAAACTCAACAGGAGCACCGTCTCCCAAACAGGCGTCCTTGTTGACGGCACTACAAAACGGCGACGGGAGCCAAGCTCGGATGACTTTCAAGACCGCTCAGTGGTGCTTCTCCAGGTTTTGATATGATTGAGTGCAAGCGTACTGCGTAACCTGACATGCGGTCATGTCGTCAATGCTGTCATTCATCGGGTAACAGCCGGCAAGCCAAGGCGATGCAGGTCACTAGGCCTGGAAGCCTTTCCAACGGGACTGATTTGATCATGCACGACGGAGCAGGGGGGAAACTACCCAAGCAGCTCTGCAAGTCACGGCAGTAAGGACAGGCGCCGCATCGGAAGCGCAGCGCCGCACGCATGAACCCTGCCATCCGCCAGCAATGAAGCACCGTCTCAGTAGACACGCTCGGGAGCACTGTCAACTGGTGAGGTCAAGTCGCAGCCGATCTTGGGGAGTCGCCAGTCACCCACTGACCACAGCTGTCTTCTGCAGAAAGCCACACAGAACAATCCGAAGGCCCTCGCCCAACTACTGCTTCATGTATGCGATGCGTACAGAAATGCCCGCGATGCACAGGTCAGTCTATGCCAGTACAACGCCCACTTTCATGCGACTTGCAACAACGTATTCTCAATTTGCAGGATCATCCGCATCGACAATCCAAGTAGTGGACTGAAACCGATTAAGCAGTGTTGTGGTCTGAGTAGCTCGTCATCTGCAACGAACCTGCTTCAAAATCTTGAGCTTGAGACTCCGTAGCCCCTGGGCTCAACGCAAAAAGCTTCTGAACTGCATGGTTGCTATGCAGACCCAGAACCTGCAGGGTTTGCACTGAAGCTTGCATTCCTGGCGTCCTTGCAAGCTTGTCCCCTTACATGGGCCTCCGCGGTGACCCAGCTTTGGAGGCGAGTGCTGGTGAATCGTTGCAAGCGCCCATGCGAACGATTCCCACAAACCTCATAAATTGAAAGTATGGGCTGAGTTATATGAGTACAGAAATAAGGGACCAGCGATACGGCCTTCAAAAAAAAAAAGGCGAGCAGGTGGCCTAGGCGTTGTATGCAAATTCCGAGCTCCGGACGCTTGCCATGCTGCCCTTGCCCCTTCATGCGGCACCACAAAGCCTTGCCGATCAGCACCCCCCAGTTCGTGATTGCGTCTTGCTCACCATGCCTCGGAGCACATGAGCCATCTGGGCATCAGTCAAGCAGACGAGCGGAACCACAGCGTCATGCACATCAATCGGATCCTGATTGCATACAGGTTGGAGCTAAACCACTGTGCCAGACTGCATGTGCTTCATGCACTTACTGCCACTAGCATTGCTATTGGGATGTGGACCGAAGCAAAGTCTTTACACGCCTGGGACACGACCGTATTCAACAAAAAGAATCAGTTGAGCAAGATCATTGCACTGCAATCGCCGGAAACTGAAGGAAACTGCATCCAAGGGG